AAACGAGTGAAAAAGTATAGAAAGCTAAAATAGTTTCCAGATCTAGACGAGCTGTTTGAATCCTAAAAACAAAAAATGCCACTGCTGTGACAGAAACTGTTGCATTAAATGTGGCATCCCTCAAGGATCGATTTTAGATCCTCTTCTATTGTCGTCTTTGCATTTCAGAAGCACGATATTTACATTTAGTATCATCTACCTGCTTCACCTCACAGCGACTGATGGCAAAAAAACTTTTCTCAACTAAAAATTGAGCAAAACTGAAGTTATTTTATTTCCATTATTTGACTTAATTTCCAGATCCTACGTATTTATATTTTTGGCTTAATCAATTTTTTAAAGTCTTATTTTATTTAATGATCATATTTTAAGAATTATTTAGATTTTTTTTTTTTTTTTTGCTTTGTGCTGATTTTTATCATATCTGTGTGTTTTATTTTGAAGACCTCCCGGTATTTTAAACTGACTTCACTTCACTTCACTTTTAAAATGCATTCTTTCTTATGCCAGGATAATTGTGATTTTTATAAAATTTCATATAGAATAATAATAATAATAATTTAACTAGAAATAATATCCCCCATTGAACATTTTTAGAATATACTTGTTTTTACACTTAAAGAAAGGGAAACATTAGCGAGGGGTTTTTATTAATGCAGTTGTTTTACTACACCTGCCTCAGCTTGATCAAATAGTTTTTCTTGGTCATGACTTTCTTACTAATAGATTTTAAATCTCAAATGTCCTTTTTCTTCTTAAATAAAGGGTAAACATATCTAAAACCACAGGTGTCTACCAATCCATCACCTCAGATGATCTAATTGTTTCCTGTTTCCTCCTCTGTGCTGCTGAGAAGTTAGATTTATAATCAAATACTGTATTTTAAAAGCACATCAGATCTTTTAAGAGCGTTAATATTTATTAGTAAAGCAAAATAACTTGTAAATAAAACAGTAAATTGGTTAAAGATGAATTATAGAAAAGAGGGAAATACTGTAATAAACTGAACCATATGTTTTCTTTTCAGAACTACAGAGACTTTAAACCCTTTTAAACCACAAACTTCTGCTCGCCTATTAATAGTTCGAAGCTTCTCTGCCAGACTTCATTCACTTTTCTGCTGATTTAGCGGCAGCCTGTTGCTCTTCGTGAAACTTTGTTGGAGTTAAAAGTCTTACCGCATGTGAGCCACAGTAAGAACAAGTTCTCTCCCATCATGATGCGCTCTGCTCGGGCCCAGCCGATCACCTCCCGTTACTCCGTCGTGAATCAGCCGCTTCCAGGCAGCGACTCCCCCGAGCTCCGTTCTTATCTCCGCCCCGCAGACTTACCGGATACTCAGCGTTAAGCCAACTGTGGTTACACTTCCGGTGTAATAAAGCTTTACAAAATAAAGTCAAATTTTATTTATGTGTCGCCAAATCACACAGTTACCTCAGGTGGCTTTAAGGTGTAAGGTAAGAAATTCCCAGACAACTCCCTATGAGCAAGCACTTTGGCAACAGTGGGAACACCCAAAATATGTGTGAATGTAGAAATCATACATCGTACTGTAGTATGACACGTGGGAGTCATGTATACGTGGAAACAACACCTTAAGATTTAAACTAAAAATGTTAATCTTATTATCATAAAAA